CGAAGTCTTTTTTATCATTTGTAGACTTGAAAAAAGTGCAGATACTTTTCTGCTTCATTCATTGTGGAGACTTTTAAATGACACTGTTTTTTCTGTCAAACACTAAAGAGTTATATACACTACATTTATCTCTATTGGTCTTTTAAAATAGTTACCTATCCTTAAATGCATGTCAGTCATGCAACCATGTGTGAAAATTTTTATCAAAACATACTACTTAAAAAAAAATTTTTTTTAAAAAACATACTATTTTTTAAAAGTATGATTTTTTTGTTGTTGTTTTTGCCTCTGGAATTCCATTCAAGGTGCTTGCAAAGATGTCATGGTATCTACTTTCTGTGTTATCCCAGTGTATCATAAATGGTGGGGCTCTGAGTTCCTTTCTAAAGGACTTTCAGTGTTTTGTTTTTTTTTAAATCATTTTTGCCCCCTAGAATTTTATGTGCCTTTTGGGCCCATGAAATTCCAACCACCCCAGGTGCGCTACCTGATAACTAAGACATGTTTAGTATGTACTCACTAAGTGAATATTGAGCAAATGCACACAAGAATTTTAAAAAAGAATCTTAAGTTTTGAAAACTTGTTTGCCTGCAATGTATGGCTCACATCTAGACTGAATGCTTAGGTTATAGCATTCCTAATTTTGAATTAACATCTGAATTTAGCCCATAATTTTGTTAACTTGATGGTCCTCTGTGATCCCCACTGTCCTCAAAACCCTTGAATTTCATTGCATTGTGTTGACTGTAGTTATTACTTAACAGCTTCCCTCTGCATTAATTTTTCATTATCTATTGGGACTCCAGCTAATACATTTCATTCCCATGTGGGTTTCTGAGCTTTATATTCTTAGAGACAGTGTTTTAATATAAGTAATGGTAGCAGTTTACATATCTTAGCTCACAAAAAGCATTTTACTAACATCTTGATTAGGGTCAACACATTTTAAAAAATGCTCTAGAACCCTTAATGTTTGTATCCTTAGTTCTAATTTTCTAGTTTCCTGGT